ACTGCAGTCGCTCCTATTATATATATATATATATATAACGTTTTATATTTCGTCATGTATAATTATACATATTTTACACAATTATGTAAAATATTGTATAACTCTATTAAATGCTACATGATTATATATGAGAATTTTTTACCGGGTATCTTTTTAAGAAATTAAACTCCTAGAAACTGTAATTTTATAACTTATAGTATTTAACTATATAGTTAAATTTTATAATAATTAAATTATTAATTAAAATTCAAGCTTACAAAATTCGGATATTCTTCATATCAATTTCATTAATATTATACAATGTGTTGCGAGAAATGAAAAATAACAATCTAATACCACAACAATTTAATACCACGATAAAATCTAATATCGCATATTACAATCATCGAATTATTGTGAAATAGCTTTACATATTTGATAATGTTATGATGTTGATATACGATCGTTTTGGAAAGTAAACCGCAAATTTGATACGTCGACAACATGAAATCCTGCATTCATATTAAAGCGCGGAAAGTCTCAATACGCTGAAGTGCGTCTGGTTTTATTGCAATCCGTGATTTTATTCCTAGCAACTCCGTTCGTACCAATAAAACTTTTTTAACTCAACATTTGAATAAACGCATTTTCTAAATCGCATTACTATATTGTAAACATTTTTGTAAGCTTGAAAGTATTTTTTACGCGCTGCAAAGAATATTTTTTTGTGAGAATTTCTTGAAAATAGTAGCTCGAGCGTCACTCGAGTTATGGGCCCCCGGAAACAATTGCAGCCCGGGCAATCGATCACGTGATCGCTTGCAATCCTTTTCACCGGTCTTTACGCACGGGTTACAGTCAGATCGCGATCGTTCCGCATTTCTCGCATCATTTACGCGTCCGAAGCGGGTTTTGCGTGCCAACGAATATCGGAAATGCCGATTACACAAAATCTATATATTTCTATATATAGTTATATTTTTTCTATAAATAAGATATTACGTATAAATTTAAAAAACGCTTGTTACACAGTTATTTTTGTGAACAAGAGAAAAAAGTAACAGGGTGAGAAAAAAGTATATTTGTTTAATATCGACGAATTATTGTGACACCGACAACGACTACAAGATAAAATTGGATACCATCGGCGAGATCTCTCCTCTGCCGATGCTCTCTGTATTAAACTAACTTGAATTATTGCAACGGACATACGTGTCCTCCTCGCCACAAATTGGTAACAAAATTGTCTCTGAGCTTGCTAACGGAAATCGAATTATTTTCTGGACATTGTAGCTTCATTATTTGTTTGTTATTTTGCTACTTTTTCTGACTGTCGCAGGTTGACATTTAAATATTTATAAACTGCAAATAAGATTAAAATAAATCTGTGTACTAAAATATTCAACAGAATGCAGTAGAGTAAATGATATGGTTATTAAAACGTGCAACGCATATCCTGCAGCACATTAAATGCATTATGCTAAATGACCCAGTTAAACAATGATGTAGAAATATTTCCTATTAAAATCGAATTACAATATTAACAAATTTATTTTAATTCAACATTTTACTAAAGTAAATACATTTGTACATTTTACTTACATTTTACTTAATAAGCAAAGATCATGAAAATTGCTTTCTGTACTTGATTATTTTTATAAAATTAAATATAAAATTTTTTACAAAAATTTAGAACTTTAAATCACTCAATCTGTTGTTTTCGTACTCAATCTGTATTATGTTAATGCATATTTTATAAATATAAAATAACAGTCCTGATCCGGTTCTAGATATATTTCTCACTGCTAGCATTGACTACTGGCACGGTTCTTCGAGAAGAAAGTCAATATCTAAAAGGAGATGTTTCCTTGCCAGAGTCGTCCAGTTTTCTAGAATCAGGCACCATATCACCGAGTAAGTAGACAGTAGATAACAAGTAGGTAATATTTTAATTAATTCTATAGCCAATTAATCTAATTTTTTCCGCCGTAACAAAATTCTTGATCTTATGCATGAAGTCATCTTCGAAATTACTTTCGAAGTAGTCGCCTTTGCTTAAACGATATCTGCTTTGCTTCAGCGACGGTTCAGTTCAACGGAATGCTGCTTGTCTGCTCCTGTTGCGGCGTACTGTGCAGCCTTCTTCTTTTGTACGGCTTGTACAAGGTAGGGCAAAGTTTTGAAGTAATCATCGATAGGCTTCATACAATAAAACGCTATTTCTTATCTGTAATAATTAGAAATTACAGAACATGATTGTGAAGATGCCATAGAAATTTCATAATTGCTATCTTTATTGTTACATTAGATTGTTACATTAAGTACTATTATTACATTAGATAGGAAAATAATAATAAAATTTTTATCCTACTATTTTACGCACGCTATACTTTTTTTTCGAGAATAATAATTTTTATATCTTCTCGTTTATTAAATGTGACGAAATAGGTAACTTTGTATCCTACTGTTTTACACAATACAATTGTTTTGCCTTACTCAAAATGTAGATTCTTCTAGCTATTTTTACATGTTTTGTATTATTTTCCATTATTATTTTTACACATATTATATTATTTGTTACTAAATTCGATCCCATGCGAATGCAGTAGAAAATACTTTTGCTCTCACTTGGAGCATGATAAAACAATTCTACCGTTACTCCCGAATGGATCGTATGAAAAGCCACAAGTATGACGCACACGCGTTATTCCCCAGAGATACGTGCCATTAAATGTAACATAAAATGGACATTTGAGTAAACACTTTATATATGTTAACATTAATGAGTTTATTAATATCTTAAATGCATAATAGAAAGAAGTTCAATTCTTCTATTTTCTAAATTCTATCATTGTTCCAATACATCCTCGAGTAATATAATTAGATAAAAACTTAAATTTAAAATTAAAAATCTGTTTTTTCTTTAAATTGTTATTAGAATTATATCAGCTTTCCTTTATCGGCTTTTCTTTCTATTTATACTGTCAATATATTGTTTGCGTATTGACCAGCGAGATTTTTATGCAGTAATATAGACACGCAAATCATGATGCGTGTATATAATCTGCTTTGCGTGCGTGACATTATTGTGAACGATAAAGTTGCGTAAACTCTGACGTAAGTGAATCAAAAAATGGGACAAAAATATATTAAGAATTTTAATTATTCTGATATACTTGCTTTTAACTGTGACGAATCATTAATAAAACATAGTACAGTATCCACGCGACAGGAATGCAACGTGTAAGTACACATTCATGAATATTAACAACGAAACATTGATAACAAGAAGCCTGCTACAAGCATGACAAAGTGTTTAATTTACCGGAAAATATGCTTGGTGCGTTCCACATTTTATATTACGAAACTGTCCATTATTTCAACGCACTCTGTTTTATTAGTTTAATATCAGAAAATTATTGAACAGAAAAATATAAATTAAAATTCACGAAATTCAGAATATAATTGCTATAAAGCAAAATCTCGTGAAAAAAATTTTTATGACGAGGATACTATAGATCCGCTTTCATACATATAGAAATCTTTTTATGAGTACCACTCATTCCAGCGTAAATAACTGTTTTCAGGATCGGAAGATGTTGCTAATTCCATGGATCATCGTAGTGATCACGTGCGGTGTCATCGATATAGCGCATTCCGTGTATTTGTTCATCATGACTGTGAGTACCTTGCTTTTTATATAATCCATGCCTTCTGATTGTGCGTTCACGAAACATAAGAAAAGACTTGTCTTCCTTAGAGTTCTTACTAACTGTCCCAAATATTTCGATAACTTATTAATAATAATTATGGTCGGGAGTTAGTACCCAGTAAAGTCTGATACTTTGCTCATTGATGATCCTGCAAAATATAATTTAACAAATCAATTTTTTGCGGAAAATTAGTTTCATAAAAAATATGATAAAGTAAAAAATAATTTAAGAGTTGATAGAAAAGGGGCGTAAGTTTAAAAACAAAAAAAATATAGGCATTCTTGAATTACGCCCTTCCTCGATCATATCATTTTTTAGTGATTTACTTTACATTATACAGCATTTTTTATTGGATTTATAATCATTAAGATAGTGCTATAAATTTAAGAATAACAAATATTTTGTTTTGGATCTTGATATAACTTGTTTTATTAAAATTTTTTTTCATATACAAAATCTGTTATTTTCTACTCATTTTTTTCTTTCTTTCTCATTTTACATTGCTTGAAATTTATGAATACTGGCCGCTTGAAAGGCTCGTAACTATTTTAGGAGGCAGCGCTGTCCTTTACAAGAGAAATATCAAAACTAAACTTGGCAGTCTTTTAAAATAAACCATGGAAAATCCGAAATTGCACTTAGCGGAGAATGTACGTAAGTATATTTACGCCCCTTTTCAAATCCATATAAAATTTTTAAGTAATCACATGGGTATAGGCTCGTATATGTATAATAATTATTGCAAAATTGGCCTATTACAGCCCGCCTTCACTCCGCCGTTACTTATGCTCTACACGCTAAATTTCTTCCTACTTTGTTTAAACGTGAGTACATTTGATTAAATTTAATTCTATATTTGTCTTGACTCACAAAAATCACAATTACGAATCATTAAACACATTTAAAAATGTTTAAAATCTATTATAAAATTATGCAGTATGAAACGTTTCTATCTTACAGATGAATCTTAATATTAATAGAACATAATATTAAATAAAAAATTAGTAGCTTGACTAAATATCTTTGACACTTTATCTCTCTCTATGTTTGTATTGTAAGATGTCGAACTACCTGGCAAAAAATGTACTGTTACAGACATATTCGCTATTATGTGTCATCTCGCAATATCAAGAATATTTAGCTGGACGTGGTACTGCTGCACACGACTATGAATACAGGGTGAGTATTCGGAACGTTTTGTAGAGGAAAGAACAATGAAAAGGGACGGAAAGTTAAGTGAATTATCAGCGAATTGTTCAGTTATATTCTCGAACAATGTATTCAAAAAGATGAAAAGGCTAGCTATATTAGGATAGTTTACGAACAATAGATTCGAGATAACCCCTCTGAATTAATCATATAGACATATGAGGTTTCCTATAATAGAAAGTGGTCTGACAGATATCATAAGATAACAAAACGAGAAGGGAGATAGCGTTGATTAATGGAAACTCCGTTGAGAATACGATTTAATGCCTCCCGAAAGCTAAGGAGGTAACGCAGTAAGGGGATATTTGTAGTAACTGTTACGTCAATTATACATTAATCAATATCCCAAGAGAGTCGATCAGATATGTCAGATTCTGTTATATCTGTAGTCATCTTTAAACGTCGGAGATGCATCACAGTAAAATCTTTTCTCCTACAAAATTACATCTCTATATAAATAATATAAACTTTCCTTGAAGTTTCAATATTTTTCATAAAAAAGTCTAACATATCGATAAGCTCTTTAACAAATAATTCCTTTTATCATTTCGTTAAATATCGAGATTCACAATTACGTGAAGATTTTGCATCGTACGATATATTTAATCGCAATATATTTAAATTTAATCTCATACAGTACCCTTTGAAGGTTCCAGTAGTAAGATACGTAACACAGCCAGCAACTACGACCGCCACCACGTCGTGTTTAAGCTCACGAAGAGGTGCGACCAACAATGAAACAAAAGCCACACCGACCCAGAGTCCCACGACGTGTCACAATCCTCTTTTATTGGAGAAAAACCCTAGCGGAGAACGCCGATTATCGAGAAAGCATGTCCAGTTTCCAGATGATTCGTCACCGAGTCAGACGCAAAAGCCAGGTGAGTGCGCACATTTCTCACTCTTTCTCGTTTCAGAAAGATCTAAAAATAAATTTACAAATCAGATAGGAGAAACGGATGTGTCTTTGTTATCGCAGTGAACGTTACACTCACACATTTTGCAACACGTACCATTTTCACAAATCGAGCTGTTAAAACTCCGTACCAATTCTAGTTGTCACAGCTTTCCCTCGCTTGTCACCGGAAATTGCGCGCAGAACAATTTCGCTCCGACTTTAAACATCATCGAAAACATCACACATAGAATATTCTGTGGTAAAATATCGCGCTTTCAAAATAAAACTGTCGTAATTTAATTTCTACTTATCAGGAAAATCAAAATTAAGTATTTTTATTTCATCTGAAACACTTAATGTGTTCCAAATAAAACAAGATAAAATTTTATAAAAATTATAAAATGATATTTTATATAATTATGTCAATAAAAAAAGAAGGCACCTTTTTATCTCTAAACACTGCTTTTACATTTATGCAATTTGCATGCTTATGCCAGTGATTATTTATTGTGTAAATAATTGAAGTACAGGCAAGGAGCGCTTTCATCCATAATAATGCATCCATTGTACAATGTTCCAGAGGTGACTATAACAGAAGTTCCAACGACGTGTTCGCCGAAAATTGAGCGTAATAATACAAGGACTCGGTTGCAACCCAATGATGCCATAACAATCGTGGCCAGCCAGTCCTCGCCGTCAAGTGAGGAAGAGCATATTCATTACTCTCAATAAATAATATGGACACAATTATACGCAATTGTTAATAGTTTCAAAATATATGTGATTGCTATATGCACATCCGTGAAGGACGTGTTGTCAATGTGTAAATACATGAGTACAATGAGTGTTTTATAAAGAAAAGCTATACAAATTAATTTATTTATCCTTCTCCAATTTCACAATAATGTATAAATTTGATTATGTAGATTGTTACAAAACAAGTTTGATAAAATGAGATTGAAACGAAAAACTTATTAATAAATGCGAAAATGTTATTTTACAAGATAAAATATAAAGCAAAAAGAAAAAAATATATAAAGGTAAAAGCATTTATTAAAAAGTAGATAAACCGATGCAATTATAAATATTTAATGATAAAATTCGTTAATCTAGTTTCTTTCTTACAGCACGGCGCAATAATGTAGTAATTTGTGTTATAAGTAATTTTTAATTTATTATATTACAGATTATCTTAGATAATTACAACAATAAATACCTATAAGTGCGATTTTGCAAAGTCCTTTCCTTAACAAAGCATAATTTATGAACACTCTTCGTCGAGAGATCAACATGTAAGAACTTTCCGAGTCTCACTATTTTGACCGTTTATGCAACTTTTCCTGTATCTGCTCCAGAGTCTTGCCTTTGGTTTCAGGTACATAGAAAAATGTGAACAGGACGCAAGTGAAACAGCACGCGCTGAAAATCCAGAATGGCACGTGTGTACCAGCATTTTCCGCTATGAAAAGGTACAATTTTCCCACAACAGAGCCCGAAACGCCGAGCGCGACTACAGTTAATGTAGCGCCAAGAGCCTTCACATTCGTGGGGAATACTTCGCTACATATAGTAAGCACTAGCGCAGCTAGACCCAAAGAGTACATGATCATGTACGTTAACACACCGGTGATAGGTAACCATACCAACTCATTGGTATTCACATGATTGTATTGTAGATTGAAATATATTGCAACCATGGCAGTCGAGCACCCCGAACCAAAGGCGGAGATTATCAGTAGTGGCTTTCTGCCGCAGCGATCAATGACAAACATACAGACAATCGTGGAAACTAGTTGAACAGCGCCTAATATCATGGTCAAGTATTTGCCCTTCAAACTGCTATTCGCTTCATCAAAGATTATTTCAGCAAACTGCAATATAGCACTAACGCCACTCAATTGTTGAAATGCGGCCAGGCACAACAAAATTAATAAGGCCCTGTAAAATAAAATCTATCATACACAATTATACCTTTCTGTGATCATAATGACATAGAAAGTGACATTATCAGAAGTTATAACACTTTCATACATTGTTAAAATTGAAATTCAACATAAGTTTATAAAAAAAACTTCAATTATTTAATAGAAATATAATTATCTTACAAAAATGTAAAATTCAAAACTAAACTTTTTTGTTTATCTATCGAGAAATGATGAGAGAATTATTTCTTAATATTTTATATTACTCAGTAAATAATTATTAACACATGACAAGAAAGTAATTAATTTATTTTACCTGCGATTACCCGGCACAAATAGAATCTCTCGAAAACCAGTTTCATTAGCCAAATCAATTTTTACGGCCTGTTCAATATTGTCCGCCTCCGTGTAAACATCCTCTTTGCCTCTCAATTGAATAAGAGAGTTAATGGCCTTCTGTCTGGCGTCGCAGCGTATCAAATGATACGGGGACTCTGGTACCCAGATAAAAGTGATCACAAATAGGCACGGCGATATCAAAGACACAAGGGCGAGATTTTGCACCGAGAGAAACGGGCCTATAATGAACTCGACCAAAGTGCCGATACCCGCAACAACTACTAACATGGATACTAAATAACCACGGATATTTGCTGACGAAATTTCACCCAAATACATCGGCGTGGTTGTATAAGACATGCCCGTACATAATCCACACAGTACCCTTGCTACGTATAGTTCCTGAAAAAATAGAGAAGGGATAAAAAATAAGATAGAAAGATAAAAGAATCAAACGGCTATGCATATATTATCAATTTTATTTAGATTTTAATATGATTCATAATTAATTGCATATTTGAGAGAGAAGTAAAGCTTAATTTAAAACTTAATTTAAAAAATCTGAAAATTGCACTTTTTTAAAAGATATGTCAGCAATCAATGGATTATTAAATAATAATTAATGATAATATTTTTTGCGACAAATAATTTTCTCATTTTAACATGATCATGATGATGAAATTCAAATTACGTGCCTTCAGTTTATTGAACAATATTAAGGTTTTGTTTGTTAAAACCATCTGATCAATTAGAGATTATCGAGACTAGAGGTATGCTTATGGATTAAATAAGATTGAATTTGAAACTTAAGGCTCCTGGTCCCGTAGCCGTGAACTCCGCGTTGACAGTGGCGACATAATTGTGGTAGGAATAAAAACCTAGTCGAATTTACCTAGTCGATTTATTGTATAAGTAAATAGTGTAACAGTTTGACCTAATCAATTGATACGATAAAAGTAAATTACTGAATAACATACAAAATGCTAATTTATAATTCAAAAATTTGTTTACAAAAAATAAACGCGATAAATACAGAATATATATAGCTTAGTACCGTTACCGACATGTCCATATGACAGAAATTCTCATGCAGCGTCTTAGGTGGAGAATCGATGAACTATTAGACGTGAAAAAATGACATGTTGACTACCCAATTTATTCTTGCGTGCCATTTCGTTAATATTCGTTAAATGTTAGTGCTGTGATATGTGACGTGTTCATGAAACCTGTAAAATTATCCGAAAACTAAGATTAGCAGGGAAAGCCCAACGTAGAAGGAGTATTTTCTACTCATACAGACAGCTGTCAACCGTGTGTTTTCTCGCATAATTAGGCTTCGCTTCACGGTTGATTTAACGATTGTTTATAACCTGTCAAGGAAAAAGCATAGTTTTCGGACAATTTTACAGGTGTCTTAAAGCGATCTAGAGTGTTACTTTGTTAAATTATCATTTTATTTAGAAATGGCACGCAAGAATTCTCGGCGTGTCATTTCTCGCTTCTGACGTCACGAATCTAATATGGCTGCGGTGACTACCCAGGAGCCTTAAATCAAAAAGTGTGACGCATTCAAGAAGTAAACAAATTAGACTGCACCAATAAGAACTATTGTACAAATCAAAGGATATACCAAATTTAAAATAAGAAAAATAGAAATTGTGACTAAAACTAAAATTCCAAATAGCCAAATTGTTTGCCAAATTGTTTACTGAGATGTTAAAAATTTCATATTTAATCTCGGAATACACTTAACATTTTGACATATTATATTGCATTATTTGGAAGTGCTTAACAAGAATAAAAGTCGAGAACATGGTGACATTCTATTAACACCTATATAAACAAAATTATCTCGCAATCACATTTGTGACTTTACTTCCAAGAAATTTTAATAATGACGAATTGAAACTACAATCTTTCTACTAAACAGACTTGTAACGTTAGCACTGAAGATAGCTGAATGATCGGCCGAAACGTTTGCTGCTTTTGAGAAACATTTGTTAAAATAAAAGATTCTAAGAACTACTATCTTCTTTGGCTTGAGATCCTCCTGCTACTCCATCGGTTTAATTATTGCGAGTCTAAACTTCAAGTTTTTAAAAATAAAAGAAATCAACTTACCCATTTTGATGTTGCAAAAGCTATCAGCAACCAGCTGATCACTGCGGGTACAGTGGTCAGTAACATAGTATGTTTTCTGCCAATAATATTCACAATAAATGCACAGATAATGGGACCTAGCATTGCACCAATCGTAAATAAAGTTATCACCCAAGAAACTTCCTCTGAGTCCAAATGCACAGGATATTCGGTGCTATTGTCATACATCAGTTTAGGCAGGGATGGTGATGCCCAACCAATAAATTGGCCAACTGACAGCATACCCAGATTTGCTGAAACAGTATGTATAAAATAGTAAAAGACATTAAGTAATTAGACGTGTTAATCAATAAAAATTGTTAGACATACGTAAAGAATGCAAACAGGTTATAAATAAGTGAATATGTTACAAAAATCTAAGAGATTAATATTCATTTAAACACTAGAATAAATTGAATAAGTTGAGGGTAGTTAAATCCCGTTTAAATTTGCATATATTTGCGTATATTTGCAAATATACAATAACATAATGAATATCGATCAATTTTAATTAAAAATTTACTTCGTGTTTTAAACATATTAATGTATATATGTAGATATATGAATGTACCTGCTACCGCAGCGAGATATATTTTCTTCATTTTTAGCGACGTAACCAATTCCACGTGTGAACGTTAACTGACTGTTGATTTATAAGCAAAAACTTGATAAGTCTCCGAGTTTAATCTAAAAGAGGTTTAAAAAATATTGCAATCAGTTTTATCTGAGAAATCACAAAATTTTTAAATTAATTTTATGTTATAAAAAAGCGCATAAAAAAGTTTTTGCATGACCTTGATGTAATTATCAACATTTCTTATCATAAAAATATATTTACATAAATTTTTACGTTAACTTGTAATATATACTTTTATCATAAACAAATATTCAGAAGCTCAATAGATTAGAATCTTTCTTATCATATTATGAAGCAATATCAAGATATCTTGTATTGTGTGGAAATTATGAGGACAAGGATAGAGGAACAATAACAAATAAATTGCGGTAGTACACTAACACAACCAATATAATATCATTATTAGGCACTTTATGATATAATTGATACCAAAATTAAGTATATTAATCTTTCAACACCAAACGAGATGTTGCAGAAAAAAAATTAATATTGCGAAACTAATACCTATTGATATTGACAATAAAAGTCATCATCTCAAATATAATTTAATGTATAAAATTCTAATATTTAAAAATTAATAGAAAAGTGTAGGCTCCAACAATTTAACAAATAATAATAATAAATAAAAAGGCAGTAAGAGCCGTTGCTAGTTATTCATGTAGTATAATTTCTCTTAATGTACATCGACAAGTACATGTACAAAAACATGTACATTTTGACCTAGATTAGGCCTTCTTCAGTCATGCAATATAAACATAATAAAATTTAACAAGTAACGGAGAATTTCATGAACGTCGAATCAATAAGCATATATTATAGAATAAAAATTTTCTGGTCTAGTATTAATAAAAATTGATGTGAAAACCATAAGCAGTTAAGATCTATAATTATCCATGAACATTATTTGTGTGTCAAGTCAAAGGTTGAAACGATAAAGCCATTATCGTTTTAACCTTTGACTTGACAC